ATCTTATGGTACAGGCGCTGGTCAGTAGTCAGGGGGTCAACAGCACCGGAACCTATGGTGTCGACTATGTTGAATTCATACGTTTCCAGATAACCGTCCAAAAAGTGTTCAAAGTGTCGACACCTGAAGTTAGGACTGCCCTAAGATGTGGTTACATTAGGGCTGCCACCCGTCCTCCAATCGGCCCCTCAAAAAGCAGTCCTCCCGAGGGTCTCAGGAGGACAACGTAATGTCCTCCCAGAGACTTTTGCCCAAATATTTCAAATATTAATTTGATTCCTAGTTGAATTTGTAAATATATTTAATATTACTTTTCATGTGATATAAAATATTTATATAAACTGTGAAATAATTGTTCGGAGGACAATAACAAGTGTTTTAAACATTAAAACAATAGTTTCTTATATTATTATGAGTACAAGAGATAAACACCATGTCAAGGTCCAAATTTTATATTCACGGAATGAATTGTAATTATTATCATATTGATATATGATGCTTTTAATGACAAATTATGAAATATTAACTTTCTAACTGTTTCGATTAACGCACTAGATTGTTTTATATTCTATATTAATTTTTAGTTTATTGTCCTTTTGCCATACTATATAATTTTACTAAAGAAGTGATTTATATAATCTGTTTACTCCAAGTAATTTTTAAGCAAAATATGTTTTGATAATCAATTAAATTGTAATGGAAAATTCAAAATCCCGAAATACATAATCCCGAAAATTATAATATCTATATAAATAATTATTTATACTTTAGGTAATGTAAAATTCATTGATATTATTAGAATAATTATTTAAAAGCTAGTTATTGTTATATTAGTAAATAAATATCTGATCAACTATTCAATATTATAATTATTGGCTGAATTTTACTAGTGTATAATACTGGTCAAGTAAAACTAAATAATATCAATGAATTTTACATTAACTAAAGTAAAAATAATTATTTATATAGATTTTATAATTTTCGGGATTATGTATTTCGGGATTTTGAATTTCTGGATTTCGTTTTTCGGGATTTTGATGTACTCCCAATTGTGGTTTATGACGGTTGGATATATCAACTGCTACAATCAATAAGTTGATTATCCAAATATTAGAACATAACAGTAATGTCTTAACTAAATAATTATCTTAAAATTGTCAACAAATCAATATTGAGACATTTTACTACTCTGATTACTTAGGTCTAAATTCATATTAGTAAACATCGATTAATCTTTTAGTCTAAAATTTAGACTAAATTAAAATTAAGCGTTAATCGAAACAGTTAGAAAGTTAATATTTCATAATTTGTCATTAAAAGCATCATATATCAATATGATAATAATTACAATTCATTCCGTGAATATAAAATTTGGACCTGGACATGGTGTTTATATGAAAATATGTAAAAACTAATGACAAAATTAGTCAAAAATTTCTGCTGTTAGTGATATCAGCAGAAGAAATATTTTCAAAAAATTGTAATTCAATTCCACTATAAAATAGGTTGTCCACTATTTGTTCTCTATTTATTTAATTATTTTATCAAAATGTCCACTAATTACGAAACTTGAGTTGGTCACACTGTATAAAATAGAAATTAATTGTTTGAAAAATATACATTATTAAAATCAACTGATAAACGTAACAATAATTCACCGCATTTTCCACAGTATTCACCAATTCATTGATATAGAGCCAAATCTTATAGTTTTGAAAACATGTATGTCTGCCACCGCTCCTAAAACGGGACTCCACTCGATTTATATCCCCGATTCAATACTGTGCCCCACATATAGCGACATGATATATACTGTATATTATTGCTCAACTCATAATAAAAATATTTTTAATCAAACGTTTTATTGAGATTAATTTTAATAAACATACAGTATTTCAATATTGAGAATAAATTATTATTATTTTAATTGATCTTTATTAGTGAAAATAAATTTATCTCATACACAATTACTCACTCACATACACACACACACAACTAAAGTAAAACAAACATTAAATATGCATGATAAATTGATCCATTTAATAATAAATACACTCGTAAAGATAAATACAAATTAAATAATATTAAATAAATAAATAAATGCACCCGCTCAATATAAATAATTTTTCATTACTAATAACTATGGGCAAAAAGCCCCACACATAATTAGCATGTTAACTACAATTAAAAAACAGTCAGCACCATTCACGAACGCCTAATCAACGGTTGAACGCACTCGGTAAACAGCGGACACGTTGAAATACTCCCGGTCACCATAGACACATGGGTTTGATAAGTAATGAAGATACTATTAAGGTCGAGCGGGCGGGGGTGTTGTCAAACTGTATGGTTAACTGCTCGGCCAGGCATGGGATGATTGCGGTGCGGTTACACTCCTTGGTCCTCCCTATACAGCTAGCCATGAATATAGTCATCCAATGTTGGAGTGCGTGCACTTTGATCTGATGGTCATATTTACAGGCCATTGGACGATTGTCAGTTTTGCATTCATTTTCACGTTTTTGTGCTTCCTCCCTTTCCTTGACGACTTTTTTAAAGAACCTGGGCTGCACGTTATTCATGCAGTGCACGATCTTTTTATGGCATTCGTCGACAGGTCTTTCATCACCTTCATGAGTGGTTTTCCCCGATTGCCAACCGGAGTTGACCACAAATGTCAACACGAGTAACACGAATCCAGGTAGGAGTAGCATTTCTGTGTGAATGAGCAAGCTTAGATTACCCACCTGTTATATAGTTTCTACCTCAAATAGCCTAAAACCCAAAACGCCTAAACCTTAAAAGGTTTAAAACCTAAAAGGCCTAAACTCAAATAACTAACTGACCCCTTGACATATTTTTAATTTGATTAGTAGAATATACATGTCTTAACCTAATCTACCATAACCTAAATTAAGTCAAATGATCATTGATCAGTTACATATCCAAGTTTAGGCCTTTTGGGGTTTTAAACCGTTTAGGCTTTAGGTCTATTGGGTTTTAAGCGTTTAGGTTTTTTACGAGACCAATAGATCAACTCTGCTTTCATAAGTTTATGAGTGTTAAGGAAGCAGAGTTCATGCATTGGTTTTTTATATGTCTAATAGATTTAACAAACTTAAATAATATAATTTAGATTATCAATAATTATTACAATTATGGCAGCGAAATATTAGTTAAAATACAAATATTTTTTAAAGTAATACAAAAATATGTGACAATATGGGAAATTTAATTTTAAATTATTAATAATTACTTTAATGGTATATATTGTATGATACTTAAATCTTAAATAACGTTGAACGTAATTCTGTAGTTTGCATTATTTTAACTAATGAAATCTTTTTCAATAATTTTCAATGTATAACGTAGTTCACGTGAAAATTATTCTGGCAAAACTTTAATAGGTTTTTTGTTATAACACTTAGCCAAAATCGGT